AGAAGAGAACTTGGTCCATCTTTTTTCTAAATAATCTCTGGCAGATGCTTATTGAATCTTTCTGGAAATCCTCCAGATCAAAAATTGTTTAACATCTAATCACTTGGCTGCACAGGAATGCCATGAATTCATCAATAATCTCTATAATATTTTTTTTCTTCACTGTATCTACAGCAGATAATCAAGGAATATCACTGTAACTACACCAGATAATCAAGTCTATCGATTTGAATTCCTACCTTTCATTTTAATGATGTTATTAAGGATAGTGGGTGGTTATTAATCTAAAAAAAATTATCTAAATTGTATGTTGTATCAACATTAGTTAGCACTTTGATTATTGACTTTTGTCCCCTTTCCCTTCAATCTTGTCCAATTCTTGGACGCTGCTTTGACAAATCCCTGCATTTTCTTGGCAAGATTTCAGAAGTGGTTTTCCCTCGTCTCCTTCCTAGGGTTGAGAGAAAGTGACTGGTTCAAGGATACCTGGATGGCTTTGTGCCTAAAACAGGACTAGAAGTCATGATCTCCTGGTTTCTAGCTTGTTGCCTAACTTCTACATTAAACTGAAGTGTTATCTGTGCATAAAGGCAGACCGGTAGTATATTAGCTTGCATAAGAAATGTATATGCTGTATAAAACAATGAATTGCTGAAAGTGCCAAACCTCAGTATAACTAGCAAGAAGGGAGTCTCTGAGATTCCAAAGGTGTGTCCCAAATGTCTTATCTTTTATATTTTCTCATTATCCTTTTTTGTCACTTTGGACAAGAAGTAGCTGCTGGATTTTTAAAAAGGCCAGAATGCTGTAGTGAACAGACTGTCTATCTTAGGCTCTTTCCCTAGTGGTATTTTGAGTGATATCACAAAGATTTGACAACCCCAAAGTTCCTCCCCCCCCCGAGATTGTAATGCTGATACCAGCTCATGATTTCTGCAGAATAAAGCATCACCTTGTGTACTGGAATAAAGCTAGTTTTCCTCTTAATCTGACAGTCATAGCATAGTTTAAAAGTATATAATAAATACTTTATTATTTATGTATACTTTCAGGAGGAGAAGGAGGAGGAGAATGTATCTGTGTAACTTCTTATTTGTGCAGTTCTAAATGGCATTATTGAAAATTCTGCAGGTCTGAGCTTCTTCCCTGCAGCAACATAAAACAATGAGAGATGGCAAATTTGATTTTTGTTGATTGTTTGCCAGTATGGGTAGTTCACAACTTGCAACGATTCATTTCGTCACCATTTGAAGTTACAGCAGCACTGAAAAAGTGACTTACGACCATTTTGACACTTGTGATTGTTGCAACATCCTCATGATCAAAATTTGAGTGCTTGGCAACTGGCATGTATTTATGGCAGTTGCATTGTCTTGGGTCATGTGGTTACCATTTGTAACTTTCCCAGCCAGCTTCCGACACATAAAGTCAATGGAGGAAGCCAGATTTGCTTAACAACCACATGATTCACTTAACAATTGCAATAATTGCTTAACAACCATGAGAAAAAAGTTTGTAAAATGAGGCACAACTCACCTAACATCTGCCTTGCTTAATAACAGAAATGTTGGGCTCAGTTGTAGTTGTAAGTCAACGGCAACCAGTATTTCTGGATCTATCACTTCCCATTATTTTCTCCAATGAAGCGGCAAGGTTATTAATTCAGCTTTAAGAGCCCAGCTGGCTATACAACCATGGCAGAGTCTGTCCCCCTCCCCCTCTGTGGCTATTTCTGACCTGGTTTCTGTGTACAATCTGTTGGACATTGCTCAGTAATTTGAACAAGTGCCAAACACATGTTTATGCTCAGGAGTTCCCATCCTAATTTTCTTTGTTTCATGTTATTTTAATGGGATGTAGGCAGAGGGGGGCAACAAATCAATCTAGAGAAGTAAAAACCTGAAATTACAGAACTGTGCAATAATATTACATCCAATTTATTCCTCAATACTGATATGCCAAAGCAAGACAGCAGCAAAGCCAAGTGAGAAGAACAATTAACATTTCTGTAAGGAGTGACACATTCAAATCAATACATTACAGTTTGGCAGAGAGTCACAACAGAGGCAGAATATAAATTCATGGATAATCAATACTATGGAGGCATTTATGATGGAGAGATGAGTTGTGTTTTAATTCAATATATGGAATGGGCTTAGATTAGGACTTTCATGTTCATAACTATGCACATGACTTCTCAACTAAATCAGAGGTGAGACTGATGCTATAGTGCCAGACACTTTGAATTTTATATATTGATATGTTTTGAATGAAAGAGCAGACTAGGATAAAAGAAAGCAGGTTCAAATTCTCTCTTAAACAAACTTAACTCACTGTATTATTGTGCAAATTAAATGAAAACGCCTGCTACTCTGATCTCCATGAAGGAAAAATCGGATAAAAGGCTTGTTTGACTTCCATCTGCTACTTAATAATCTTAGCTCATTCTGTTGCTAGCCAACAAAAAGACCTTTCTTTTTTTATTTTAACTCTTGAATTAACATTAAGAGTCATTGTTGTTACAGAAGGTTTCAAATCTAATCTAAAATTTCATTGTTGGTTGAACATTTGTTTTCCAGTTGTTCATTATCAAGCAAGGTCATAATAATGATCCATAAATCTTTTTTAATGAATGATAGGAATGCTTCACTAATGCTTTCCCAAAAGTATAATATCTTAGCTAACACATATTGCAACACCTGAAAAGTATGCCAACATGAAATGGTATTTTTTTTGCAACATCTTTCCATAGAAGCATCAGTATTTTATTAAATTAACTAGCTCACTTATAACAACTAATGCCAGAATAGCAGATTCTCCACTTTTGCTATATATCACAGTTGTTCAACATAAACTTTCAACCAAGAAATCAGCAAAAAAAAAAAAAAACAAGGCCAGCAAGCCTACTTAGGTATTAATCTTTTCCAAAGTGGTGCCCTCCCAATGTTGACTGGGAATGTTGGGAATTCCCAGAGGGCCCTAGGTTTGGGGATATGTATAGTAGCCATTTCTAAGCTAAATGTTCTGGGCATTTGCCAATTGCATAGCAGAAATACACCCAATGTAGCTTCTCTATTATTGTATAGCCATGGAGGAGAAAATGAATTTCTATGTGTTATACGTTTAAGATATAGAAACCCAAGTCAAAAAGGCATTGCACAATGCTACTTAGTTGAGTAAGTAACAACCAAGAGTTTATATAGCATCTTTATAGAGCTAGTCAGCTCTAAATAATTAATCAAACAATAAACTTGCTAGCAAATTATCACAATTCAAAAGGAAGGATCAATAATAGTGAATGATGACATCCAATATCAGATGAATGAAAAATTTAACATTATGTTTTCAATGAATAAAATAAAGAAGGTGAATGAAGATAAACAAATTTGTAATCATTATTAGACTAAAATCTTACAAAAGTTCATATGTATTAGGAAATATGTAGACCTCAATTCTACATATGTATTCTGTAGGATAAATGTAATTTCTCCTTGATATAGAACTACAGAATTGATAGAAATCAGTCGGATTGCACCATTAAATCAGATTGGAAATGGATAGTGCCATTTTAAGTGTGTCCATCTCAGAAGTCATTCCCTCTGAATTCATTTATCCAAGTCAATGTGAGGTGGGGTATAAGTATCTATGCTTATTATTTATTCTAGAGTATTTTAATGCCAACCACTCTATGTTCCCTTAAAATGACAGGTATACAATTAAAACAGATGGTAAGGCAAGAAGAGATACTTAAATTTAACAAGTATAGTTTGATTATTACAAAGTCATTGTGAGCAAAAAGTGGGATTGTAATCTCAAACCAAAAACTAAAACAGAGTGTAACTTGTAACTCTTTCAGAGGCCTGTATATTTTTCAGCCACTAGGACATTTTATGCATGTCCTTATCATTATTTTTTCTACCAAATGATAAGGAAAGGTTTAGAAGCCCTTTGTGACCTCCCATTGATCCTTCTGCTATATTTATTCATTTATTTATTTTGTCATCCCTGAATAATGTTGCCAACAGCTGAAAAAAGACAAAGCTATTTTAAAGGAACTTAATGTCTATAATCCCCCTTTGCTGGTGAAGAGGATGGCTTGCACTTTCAACACACTCAAAAGGCATCTGAAGTACTGGTTCTATTGTATCCAGTAAACCAAAGAAAGACATGGAGCCCAAGAGTCTGGAACAAATGGTGGTCCGACCAGCCCAGATGTTTGTGGCTTATGGTTAGTATCTAGAGATCAGATGGATATATAGCAAGAAGGATTGGTGGGGGGGGGGGAGATGTACAGTACATGCAAATATACTCAGAGCTTTGGCCGTTAGGTCTGCCAGCACATAGTATGTAGATATGTTAGGAAAGTGTCCTCCAGAGACCTTGAACCTAAACTGCCTGGGGGGATTAGCGCCCCCGAATTTATAAATGACTCAAGTGCACCAACTTGAAACAAACCATCCCCGTTTTAATCTTTCTTACTGCGCGGCGATTTAATCCCGGATTCGCGGCCTGCGGACAAAGGAGTTCTTGGTGAGCAGGTTGAGGAAAAGAACCAGAACAGCCTCCGCCTGCCACTCCGGAGGAGACTGGCGTTCAGCTGGGCGCCAGGCGACAGAGCAGGGCACGGCGCTCAGGGCGGACCTACACGGCTGACCGGCTAGTGCAGGGTTAGGCAACCTTGGCTCTTTTAGGACTCGTGGACTTCAACTCCCAGAATTCCTGAGCCAGCCAAGCTGGCTCAGGAATTCTGGGAGTTGAAGTCCACAAGTCCTAAAAGAGCCAAGGTTGCCTACCCCTGGGCTAGTGCGACTGCATTTCCACCCCATCCACCGCACGACGAAATCTAAGAACCATCCCTTCAGCCCTCCGCCGAAAAGAACCACAAGCCAATTCGGCCAACCTTGGGTCCGATCCCCTCCGACTCCCTGCCTTCGTCCGCCAGCACCTGCCTCAGGGACACCGGCAGCCGGCCCTCCCGCTGGCATCCTCCGCTGACTTACCTGAGATGCCTCCTCCGATCACGACCACGTCGCACTTCTGGTGGTCGCTGCTCATGATGGCTGCTCCCCGGGTCCAACTGTTAGCGGGTTATTCCTGCAGCCGCAGAGGCTCCTCGCCGACTGCCAGCCGGGCACAGTGACAGGGGCAGCCGTTCCGTCGAGCAACACCCCCTTTTGGCTAGCTCAGCTGGGGACTCCGCCCGCTGCTGGCAAAGGGCGGCCAAGTCTGTGGCTCAGCCAGGGAGCCTCACCTGACCGGACGCCCCGGAGTTCCTCATATCCCTGCCGCCGGTGTAGTTCCCCGGCGGCGGGGATATGGCCGCTGCTTAAGGTAGGAATCGCCAGGCAGGGAATCAATAAATGAAGCGGACGGGAGAAGCCGACAACGTGAAGGCTTCACCTGTTGAATGTTTGCATGCCTTGGTGCTGT